AAAAAAAAAGGCAGCCACTTAGAGTCCTTGATGTAACAAAACAAGTATGCACAAGAAAATCCCAAAGTCTCTGGTGGAGGGTTACTGTGTAAACGACCTTAACCCACTTCCATTTTTTTGTGTCCCTGACTCAGTTTTCTTTTTCTAGGGCCCAAGACAGGGTTTCAGTATGTACCCCAAACTGGCCTTATACTCAAAACTACCTTACTGCCTCAGTCTCTTGAGTGAAAGAAGATATGAGGTATACACACACTTTGTGGATGCAGCTGCCATCTGTGTTCTGTTTTCTTCCCACGTGACTTCAATATTTGTCATTTTCCTTTTGTTCTTATTTATTTTTTGAGGCAAAGTCTGATGTAGCCCTATTGGGCTCACTCTTTCTGGCCTTTCTATTTCTACTTCATGTGTATCATTTTGAATTGCCTCTTCAGTTTTTGGCTTTTTGGTTTGGTTTTTTATTATTACCATTATTGAACTTTTTTGTTTTTGTTTTCACAACAGGGTTTCTCTGTGTAGCCCTCCTGTCCTGGAACTCACTATATAGAGCAGGTTGGCCTCAAATTCACAGATCTACCTGCCTCCTTACTAAGATGCAAGGAGTATGCCACCACGGCCAGCTTATATGTTGCTCTTGATGCTTCTTTCTTTACACTTGGCTGCTCCAAATCCTACTTAAAGGCTGTGTTCCCAGAAATTATAGCTCAGAGCTGAAGAATGATTAGAACTCTATAATGTCATCCTATGCTGATGAGGGTCTCTATATAAGTATTATATACTACAGAGGTCTTTGAGGTTGTCATAGTGTAGACAACATTCATTTTACAAGATTAGGCAGGACGTGGTGGCACATACCTCTAATCCTAGCACTCAGAAGACAGATAGGGAACTCTCTTGAGTTCAAGGCTGGACTGTTATATAGCGAGTTTCTGGACAGCCAGAACTACACACAGAAACTCACAGAAGAAAGCCTCTGTGTATGGAGGGAGTGTTTAACAAGAGTAATGTAATTGTATTGTCTTGTACCCCTAAAAGAACAAGAGTCGGGAAAGTCTAGCCATGCTTGTCTCAGGAGAGCCATCCTTGTGTAGTTTGCTCTTAGGGATACGACTCCTTGGACAGTTTAAATCTTACATATGCATTCTGGTGGTTCTCTGCTGAGAATGTGGTGACATCCAAAAAGAACAATTTTAAGAAGGAATCTAATAGTGGAGTGTAGGTAACAGTAATAGTGAGATTGTAGCCATAGAGTACAATAAAAAAAAAAAAATAATGGAAGTCAAAACATAAATTAAGGCTACAACTACTGATAGATGTATAGAGTTTTGGGTTTGTTTGCAGTTTTTTATTTTTGGGTTGTTTAAGATAGTGTTTCTTTGTGTGGCCATGGCAGTCCTGGAACTCAGAAATTTACCTACTCTGCCTCCCTAATGCTGGGAGTTAAGGCATGTACCACCATGCCAGGTTAGAATCCAGGGTCTTGTGCATGATAAGCAAACACTACCACTGAGCCAAATTTCCAATCTTAAGGGTTTTATATTTAGATAGTAACTTCTAGGGGTTTATTGTTTAAATCTGAGTGAGATGGGCCTGGTCTACTCTTAAAATATATTCATAAACATCAGAAGGTACATTCTTCAGAGATTCAGCCATCAGCATTGCTTTAGCTGTTACAGTTTAAACTTGTTCTAGATATTTGCATGTTGGACACTTAAAACTAGAAAAGAAAGTTGAAGGTTTGGCTTTCTTACTGGGCTGTGTATGTGGTATTTACTTCCCTAAGACTGAAGCTGACAACAAATTTCCTTTGGCGTTGGGCATTCTCTATCATTGGTTAGTTGTTGGGTTCAATTAGAAAGAGCCCTGCATTATCCAGAAAAAGACCAAAACCCTGTTAAATGTTTTATGCTTTACTTGTCAAGAGCTGTCTATTATGCACCTGATCATTATCTGAAATTGCATGAACCCTATTAGTATTTGAAAGCAGCTATCATTAGAGCTCAAGGTCCTTTCTCTAGAGGGTAGGACATTCCTCTTGACAATGGCCTGGGTGAATGTGGGCTGTTTCTTAGAACCTCTTAAGAGCAACTCATTTCTGGTGTCTCAGTTTCCATAGCTTTGGCAAACATAGCTGCTGTATAATCTCAATCTGGGGTTCCTCTGAAGCAGCAGGAATATCAGTTGGGCTTATTCTTTTATTTTATTTTTTAAATTTTATTTTATGTGCGTTAATGTGAAGGTGTCAGATCCCTTGGAACTGGAGTTACAGACAGTTGTGAGAGGCCATATGGGTGCTGGGATTTGAACCCAGGTCCCTTTGAAAGAGCAGACAGTGCTCTTAACCACTGAGCCATCTCTCCAGCCCCCTTTTGGGCTTATTCTTTTGTCTGTTTTTTTCTGGGCCCTTTGGACTCTGTTGCTTAAAATTTTCTAAAGAAAATTTAAATTTTAACTCGATCGTATCGGGTCCTTTTTATTGAATTAACTGGTTTAAGAGTTAGCATATTACTTATTCAAGAAGATGATCTTTGGAACAGCAAGCCCAGCAGAACATGCCACAGAAGGGCAATTATCTGTGAGTATAATAGTTTGTAGAAGCGACAGGATAAGCCAGCAGATTAGGGCTTACAATGGTCCTCTGAGGTGATACCTTTTAAATATGGTGTTTTTGTTTTTCAAGACAAGGTTTCTCTGTGTAGCCTTGGTTGTCCTGGATTTGCTGTGTAGACCAGGCTTGCCTTGAACTCACAAAGGTCCACCTGCCTTTGTCTCCCTGAGTGCTGGTATTAAATGCATAAGCTACCACGCCTGGCTAAAGTCTGATGTTCATGAGTATGGATGTGGTTGGGTTCTTGGTTAGCAACATCCAGGCCTGAGCCTCCACCCCAACTTGTTTGTTTGTTTGTTTTTGTTTTGGAAACCTATTTCTCTGTGTAGCCCTGGCTATCCTAGAACTCCCTATGTAGACCAGGCTGTCCTCAAACTCAGAGTTCAGCCTGCCTCTACCTCCTGGGTGCTGAGGTGTGTGTCACCCGTCTGGTTTGGTTTTATTTAGCCTTATTGTATACTCATTGTCTCTTTGGTTGGATCACATGAGGTTGTCCCATCTTCTGCAACACCTAGTGTAATAATGTTCTATATAGTAGATGCTGAGAACAATAAATTTTGCCCAGGTGGTAGTGGTTTCAATATTTAAGATTAGTCTTTATTTCATCAACTATAGTAGAGGTATGGGGGAGGGGGTTAGTTTGTGTAAAGGTGGTTTTCCAAAATATTTATAAGTTGAGGTTTGGACATAAGATTTGGATAGGGTCTTATTTAAATTTTACTGTTTAAACATCCCCAAAAGAAATTCTGTGCTTATAAGCATTAGTTTCTGTGTGTCTCATAGAAACTGCTATGGTTTATATTTCAGCAGTTACCAATTATCTGGTTAACGGGTTCAGGGATGATATCATTAATACTTATATGAAAAGTCCCTAATTAAGGGACTGTTGTTATAAATATATAATGAAGTGTTGGGCTATATAAAGTTTATTATTAAGTCTGTGATTATCACGGCAGTATTATCTAACCCACTATCACAAATAAAAAGACACAGACACCTGTTAGATTATATAATTGACTTATTTAGCTGGGGCCAGGCAGTTATTTCTACCTACACTGCCTGTCTCAGTAACCTCACCATCATCTCCCAGCCCCCATCCAATGCCATCCTCCTTAACTGTCCTCATCTGAACTATCTTCCATCCATGATCTTATAAATACTTGTTTGTATTCTTCGTCTGGGCCTTTTTATGCCACTATTGGAGTCCTTCCTCCTGGCCCCACATTTTTACTCTAGGCTAATCCTGTCTTCCTCCTCCTTGACTGATTCTCCTGTAATTCTCTCATCCCTAAGCCCTAGAACCTTCGCCACGCCTACCTCATTCTGCCCTGCCCAGGTATAGACCATTTAATCAACCAATCAAGTATGTCTTAGGCAGGTTTACAAAACAAGGATAGTTGTAACCAGATCTTAAGGGCCAGTAACATGCATCAGACCAACCTCCAACAAGGGATTATGGGCCACCCCTGTCTATATTGAATATATCCATACCCATTTATGATTCATACTGCTTACTGTTATCTATCGCTGTTTTTCTTTAGTAGTAGCAGTTGGTAAGTTAGAAAGGTGTGGCCCCACTTGAAATGTTATCAGGCACCTTGGCATAATATACTATGGAAACTTAGACTTTGAAAAATAACCTGTCTTTATGCTAAATACCCTTATATCTCTATGTTTTTGGCAGGCAGAGAACATTTATAATGATGAAGACCCTGAAGGAAGTGTGGATCCAGAAGGACAAGGATCCTAGACATGTCTGCACTTGTGATTTTAGACTTCTTGTTTTCCTCTGAACCCTTGAGACAGATTTAACATTGGTTTGAAACACACTTTGTTCAGCTATCCGGCTACAGTAGGTGCCACCAACAGTGCTGTTAGCCCAAACCATGGGTGTTTTCTAAATCTTAACTGGGGGACTTAATTCAACAAAGCCTTGTTGGCGGCACCTGCTGGATAGCTGAACACAGTCTGTTTTTGTTGTGTGTAGGAGTTTTTTTGTTGTTATTGTTCTTTTTTTTTCTCTCTCTCTTTTTTTCCTTTTCTTTTTTTTTAAGCTTGGGACCACCAAGTTGTAAAGATGTATGGTTTTTACCTGGCAGTTGTCTCACTGGTGAACTGTCACATTGAGAAAGAGTGAGTTGCTAGTTTGTATTTGTTTTTAAAATTAAATTAATCCTTGATAAAAGTTGCTTTTCTTAGGGGTTAGTCTTCAACCACTATAGTTTGATGCCATCTCCATTTTGGTTGACTTGTCTCACCATCAGGCCTGTTACTCTCCATGACTAACTGTGTAAGTGCTTATAATGGAATAAATTGCTTTTCTATATAGCCTCATGCTGGTGGGTTTTATTTAATATCTATCAAACAGCAGTCTCTGACATCTAGGAGAGTTTGTTTGAATGACAGTTCTTTTTCATGGTTTTGGTTTTTTAAGACATGGTTTCTCTGTAGCTTTGGCTGTCCTGGACTTGCTTTGAAGACCAGGTGGGCCTCAAACTCACAGAGATCCGCCTGCGTTGGGATTATAGCCATGCACCACCAAGCCCAGTTTCTTCTTTTCCATGATTTTAACTATAGGGATGAGAATAAGCAACAGATCCAGAACCATTTTTTAAAAAGAAAAAGGGAAAAAAAAGCTTTACTCCAGCCAGGGAACATGAAGACATTACTGAACAGAGTACACAAACTAGTCCTGGTAAAATGACACATTTTTAAGTCTTCCCTAGAGAGCTACACAGGTTTCCAATAAAGTCAAAGGCAGTGTGTTAGAGACCTTAAGGCAGTGTTTAAGTTTGAAAGAGACTTGAAATGTTTTACAGAGAGCTTGTATCTGTCCAGAGTTTTTCACAAGAACCCCTACTTTTTAAAGGGTAGAAATTCAGAGAGTTTATCACCATGATAACCAGATAAAATGACTGTTTTTGCTAGGGTTGACTAGTTGACTCTGACCTTCAAAACCATCTATGATGCTTGGGAAAGTCTCACTAGTGAAGTGTTGGGTGTGGCTGCTTTAGTGTGTAGTAAAAGTTAGCAAGCAGGGTGTGGTGGTGTACTAGCTCTTGGAAGGCAGAGGCAGGTAGATTTCGGTGAATTTGAGGCCCTCCCATGAGTTCCAGGACAGCTGGAGCGATGCATGGTGACACCTTGGATTTGGGGGGTGGGAGGGAGTGTCTTGGGTCACACTTTGTGGCATACACATGTAGTCCCAGCAGTTGGGAGGTAGAGGCACAATCAGAAAGGTCATCCTGACCTACGTAACAAGTTAGAAACCAGCCTAGATTACTTGAGACTTTGTCTCAAGAAAAAGAAGCCTGCCATGTCTATTCCAGCTCTCCAGAGGTAGAGGCAGGGATCTCTGAGTTCAGGGTCAGCACTGTCTAAAAAAATGAGTTCTAGGTCATCCAGGTGTCTTCTGTTTAAAAACAAAAGCTATTTTAAGAGTAAATTATATGAGGGACTTGAAGGGGAAAATGGCTTTGTGATCAGAGTCATTTAAAAATCTAATACCTGTGGCACAAAAGAATTTAAGTTGTGAGCAAGTCAGTGGTGGTACATGCCTTTAATCCCAGCACTTGGGAGGCAGAGGCAGGAGGATCACTGAGTTTGAAGCCAGCCTGGTCAACAGAGTCCAGGACAGCCAAGGCTACATAGACCTTGTCTCAAAAAAATTTAAGTTGTGGATCCATATAGCAAAAATTGGGTATCTTTTGACCCCAACATTGTCTCTTAAATGTTCTTGGTTTGGGTCGGCACAAAGCAATAAATAACTTTTTTCACAATACAGCTAAGTGATAAATCCATTACTCAGGGTTCTGCTCGCTTTCCATTCCACAGTGCACTGAGATCAGTGCTGGCGCCTGCAAAAAGAATGCAGATGAAAGTTGACTGCGATTCTGCTTCCAGCTAAGCCTAAAATCTTTTAAAGCAAGCTAGCCAGTGTTTGTGATTTTTTTTTTTTTCTTTCTTTTCTTTTCTTTTCTTTCACAGAGTTGCTTGCCAGGTGCTGGTTCTCCTATCAGGGGGGAAAAGTCCATCACTAGTGATTCTTTGAGAAATGTTTTGTTGTTTCTGGATTACAGATCTGGCCATGTATTTCTAAACAGTCCCTGTAAGAATGAAAGAAATACAGTTAAGTTTGTACTTGCTACAGTCTAGCAGTGAACTTAAAAGGTTTTCTTAGAGCAGGATAGACTGGGGAAAGAGCAGTATGGTTTGTTTTGGTTGATTTCAATACTTGGCATTGGCTGGACTGAAGCTGACTGTAAAATAGGTTGACCTTTAACCCACCTGCCTCCAGAGTGTTGACTAGAGTTAGGTGCCGCCGTGTCTGGCCACAGTATGGTTCTCATGGCACTAGGAATGACATTCTACTAGCAGATATTTGAATGGCTCTTATTTGCAAAACAGGATAACGACAGTGAGGTGAAGGAGTAAGGTAGGCAGACATGGTGACATAGCTACAGTTAAGAGTACTCAGAAGGCTGAGGCGGGACAACCACAAGTTCAAGACCAGTGTGGTGTTGTAATCGCTTGACTAGAAAGTTTTCACTCTTACTGAGCTTAACTTTGCCACAAGTATTATAGTGCCTGGTGTTCCTTTGTCTTTAGATTTTATTTTTGGTGTTGGTTTTATTTTGTATGTGCAGGGAGCCCATGTTGGCTGGAAAAGGGCATTGGATCCATTAGAAGTAGAGTTACAGTTGGTTTTAAGCAGTCATGTAGGTGCTAAGAGCTGAACCTGGGTCCTCTGCAAAAAGCAGCTAGTGCTCTTAACCACTGAAACATTTCTCCAGCCCTTCTGTTTTGTTTTTGGTTTTGTTTTGTTTAATTATTTGTATGTGCCTGTGTCTGTCTTTTGAAGCCAGAAAACATCACTTCTGGAGCTGGAGTCACCGGAGTTGTAAACTACCTGATGAGGGTCATAGAAACTGAACTATGGTCCTTTACAAAAGCAGCAAATGTTCTTTTTGGTTTTGTTTTTATATGGATGAGTGGTTTGCCTGCATGTGTGTGCATGGTTCCAGAGGAGGCCAGAAAAGGGTGTCAGGTGCCCCAGAACTGGAACTATGAATGGTTGTGAGCCTCTCTGTAGGTTCTGGGAATCAAACCTGGGTTGTCTGAAAAAACAAGTAATCTAAACTGCTGAACTGTCTACCTTCAGTCTTTCTTTCTAAAACAGTCTCCTTTAGCCTAGGATATCCTGGAACTCTATGGCCAAGGATGGCCTTAAACTCAAACCTGTTCCTGCCTCCATCTCATGGGTGCTGGGATGGAAGGCATGCACTAGCACGACCAGTTATATGCAGTGCTGGATCTTGAACCCAGGGCTTCATTCCTGCTACACATGCACTCTACCAACTGAGCTGCACCTTCTGCTCTGACCCTCTTGTATATTAATTGCTATCGTTTTCCTGTCATACAAAGGTGTTCCTCAGATCATTGTCCTCAATTGCAGGTTATTAACTCCCATGTTGGGTTTTCTTCCTTTCTGCATCTAGAACTTGCTGTCCATATACATGGCTAGCAAGCACTGAACTACTGAGTTACGGGGGAGTGGCTTGGTTTTAAGTTGGGAATCTTAAGTTTATAACCAGACAGGACTGAATGTGCTAGCCCTGCTTCAGCTTCCTGGTGGGATTGAGTGGTTGGGGTGAAAGATACTAGGCTCAGCTGGGCACAGTGGCGCGTGCCTGTAATCCCAGCACTCAGGAGGCAGAGGCGGGCAGATCTCTGAGTTCAAGGTCAGCCTGGTCTACAAAGCAAGTCCAGAACACCAAGGTTACACAGAGAAACCCTGTCTCAGGAGAGAAAAAAAAACCAAAAAACTAGGCTGTAAAACTTTATAAATACTGGATAAATCCACAGTCTTTGTGGGTTTTTTATATTGACCAAGCAGTGAGTAGTTTGGGCTATAAATATCCTCAACAGGTTTTTAAGTGGGTAACTTAGCCTTCTTGCCTCTTAGTCTGAACATCATAGTGTTGCCTTTTGTGCTATCCAAAGAAATTTGAGTGCCAGTGTTAGGGGAAGACTGTATGTAGAGGCTGGATTGTGTCGGGTATCTACGGAGGCCAGACAAAGGCATCAGATCCTCTAGAACTGGAGTTCCGGACTATTGTGAGCTGCCATGTGGGTGCTGGGAGCCACACCTGTGTGTCCTCAGCAAATGTTCCTAACCACTGTCATCTCCAGCCACTAGATGGTGTATCTGTAATATAAAAGTTCTTAGCCAGGCATGGTGGCAATGACTTTAACCTCAGCAGGGCAGAGGCAGGAGAATCTTTGAGTTTGAGGCCAGCCTAGTCTACAGAGTGAGTCTAGGACAGCCAAGGCTACGCAGAAGCCTTGTCTCAAAAACAAAAAATCCTAAATCAGTTCTGCTTGATCTTAGGTGTCTTAGAGACATGTACTACCATTCTTCAGTTATTTGTTATTTGATAAATTTAGAGGTAGCGCTTGAGAGGCTAAGGCTGGTTTTGCCAGCCTCAGCTGCATAGTGAAACTACATTTAAGGAGGGCAGGTTATTAAGTGACCGGGTACAGAGGCAAATGTCTAACTATGCAGACCAAGGTGAGAGGATCCCAAGCAAGGGCGACAGTAAGACCCTCCAGAGTAAGGCATTAGTGTTGTTAGGAAAGCAGTAATGAGCAAACGCCACTGCCATTGACCCACAAAGATCACCTGGGGATTGTGCCTGGACTCCACCTGCCTGAGAAGTAGGTGCATCGGCCTGTTCCAGACTCTTGGGTAGCATAGCCCTTTAAAGAGAGAGAGCTGTTTTCCATCTGTTCATGGGTGGACACAATTTGAGAGTCATTTCCCCAAATGACTTGTTTTCTTTGGTGAAATACTCCCTGGGCCCTCCCACCGTCCTGGCAAGACAGTTTAGATGAGAGTTGGGAAGCAGAGAACACTGACTTGTATGTGGAAAGCTCTTGAGCAAGGTTTGTCCTCAGCCGCTCCAGCTCCTTGTTCTTCTGTTGCTGGACTTGCACCCCACTTCGTAACTGCCTCTGTCTCTCCTCCATCTCCTCCAGCTGCTCCTGCACAAGATGGCCAAACATTTGTGAGCCAAACAACCCCTGACATCTATACATAGCATTTGCACATTATATTGTGGGTTTTTTTTTGTTTGGTTGGTTGCTTGATTTGGTTTGTTTCCCCATACACAGGGTTTCTCTGTGTAGTCTTGGCTGTCCAGGACTTGCTTTGTAGACCAGGCTGGCCTTGAATTCAGAAATCCACCTGCCTCTGCTCCCTGAGTGCTTAGATTACAGGTGTGTGCTACTGCATCCGGCTTGGTTTGATTTTTAAACAAGATCTTACTGTGTCTCTGTCTGGCCTGGAACTCTCTAGACCAGGCTGGCCTCCAATTCAGATCTGCCTGCCTCCGCCTCCTGAGTGCTGGGATTATAAAACATAGACCACTATGCCCACCCTGTATCATTGAATATTTGTAGCAATATTGAGATTGGTATTACCTTCATAAGATGGGTTAAGAAACAAGTTCCAACAGGTATTTTGGCAAAGTGACACAACTTTGAAAATAGTGACATTTTCTGAAAAACACTGGGCATTAGTGTCATGCACCTTTAATCCCAGCACTCAGGAGACAGAGGCAGGCAGATCTCTGAGTCCGAGGACAACCAGAGCTACACAGAGAAACCCTGTCTCATATCTGGGGGAGAAGGGGTTACCAATCACTTGAATACTTAATCTAGACAAGAGTGAAAAGGTGAGTGGAGAGATGGATCCGCTGTTAGGAGCACTTGTTCTTGCAGAGGACCCAGGTTTGAGTCCCAGCTCCCACATGATGATTCACAACCTTTGGTAACTAATTCTAGGCTCCAGTTCTGGGTGATTTCATGTCCTCTTCTCTCCTCTGTGGGTACCAATTATATATATATATGGCACATATGTACATGCAGGCAAGCTACATAAAATGAGTAAATCTTTTTTAAAAAATAACCTATATTCAGGGGTTTAGTGTCTGGCATTAACTTGGTGCTATATCGGGCTGCAGAGATGGCTCAGCAGTTAAGAGCACTGGCTGTTCTTCCAGAGGTCCTGAGTTCGATTCCTAGCAACCACATGGTAGCTGACAACCATTTCTACTGGGGTCTGATGCTCTCTACTAGCATACAGGTGTACATGAAGCCAGAGCACTCATACATTAAATAAATCTTTAAAAAAATGAATAAAACTTAGTGTTGTATCAGTTGCTGACATGTCTCATCGTTCACCACTTTCTCCTTTAGGAGCATATTAAGATTTTTTAACTTTATATGGGCTGGAAGATGCTTTTTGAGAAGGATCTGATTACACTTCATAAATTAAGATTCTTTAAGGTTTAAAAATCACTTCATGACCAGAACCAACGTCAGCCCTGAATAAAGGGGCTAGAGCATGTGCCTACACTAATGATCCAGCAATGAAAGGAGAGACATTTTAAGGGTTAGTCATATTGGTACGTATGAGCAGTCTGAAGGCGGAAACATAACTTTCAGCCAGCCTGGACCGCATAAACCACTGCCTTTTTAAAAATAGAAAGTGTAGGATAACAGCTTGTGTGTGGCTGAGTATGCTGGTTGAATTCTACCTTGAGTCTTCAGGTAATGAAGGAAGGCAGTCCACCTGTCTGGATCGGATCCTTGAGGATGGGGTGGGAAAGCTGGGGTACAGCTCAGTTAGCAAACTGCCTTTCTTCACAAAGCCCCGGGTTTGAACCCAGCACAGCTTAAATTGTGCCATGCATTTTGGAGGTGGAGGCCAGCCTGGGCTGTATGTGACCTTGTCTCAAAAGGGTTGGGGCATCGGGGATGCGGATGTTGGTGTAGGGAGGCCGACTGTAAAGGGCAGCTGGGAAATACTGAGAATGTGTCCTGGGTGCTTGCTATTATTAGAGGACTTTCTGATCTGAGTCAGCTTTGATAAGGTACTGAGGCACATCAGGCTCTGAGGTTGAAGCTCACCTTTAACCAACATTGTCAAAACATCTTTTTTTAGTGTCCGGCCCTGCCTGGGGACCACAAAAGATGTGGTCTTCCTGCCAAAGAATGTGGCACCGGAAGGGAGGCTTCACTGCCCCAGTTTTGGTAAGGCCCAAAAGTCTGGGTGGGGGTGGGGTGGTGCTGGATGGTACCCCAGTGCTGGGGTGGCAGAGACAGGCAGGTACCTGGGGACTCTCTGGCCAGTCTAGCTGGCAGTGACTCCACCACCACCAGGCCCGTGACAAAGACCATCTCAAAGAGCTGGGTGGAGTAGCCACCTTCAGGGGAAAGAAGTCACCTGAGCCACAGAGGGAATTCCTGGCCAGCCAAGGCTAAGTAGACCCTGTTATTAAAAGAAGGGGTAGGGGAGTTGAGTGGAGAGATGAATCAATGGTTGGTTGGTTAGTTGATTTTGTTTTGGGGTTTTGGGTTTTCTGTGTTTGTTTTAGTTGTGGTTTGGGTTTGTTTTTGAGACAGGGTTACTCTGTATTTCTGGCTGTCCTGGTACTTGCTCTGTAGACCAGGCTGGCCAGGAACTCAAGAGATCCACCTGCCCCTGCCTCCTGAGAGCTGGGATTAAAGGCATGTGGCACCATCACCCCTTAAACAATTAAGATGTCACAATGTTTAAGAGCACTTGATGCTCTCTAAGACCCAGGTTCGATTCTTACGACCCACATGTTGGCTCCTAAGCCTCTGTAACTTCAGTTCCAAAGGATCCGATGCTACCTTCTGGCTTCCTTGTGCCATGCATGCATGTGGTACACAGACATACAGGCAAAACACTCATACACACAAAATTTAAATTTCAATTTTAAAAAGCACATAGTGCTCTTGCAGGGAATCCGAGTTCAATTCCCAGCACTCATGTGTGCCAACTCAAAACTGCTGGTAACTCCAGCTCCTAAAGTTCCAGTGATTGACCTCTGTGGGCATCTGCACCACTCAGACTTACACAGTCGTATAATTAATAGAAATGATTTTTTACAAAATCAAAAGATTAAGCCAGGTGCAGAAGCGTATGCCTTTAATCTCAGTACTCTGGAGGCAAAGGCAGAGGAACGAGTTTGAGGCTGGCCTGGTCTACAAAACAAGATAAAGTAAATAAACAAGTCTGCTTCAAAAGGAAAATGGCAAGAGTTAAATAACAAAAGGGAAAGGAGAGCTGGACAATGCCTGAGCATGGGATTACAGGAAGGTGGCTCACTGGGATAGCAGGCAGTGCTGGGGGCCTTATGTTACTTTCATCTTTTTTAATTATGTCTGAATCTCTGGTGGGCTCTTAGCATTCTCAGAAAACCCCTCACTCCTCCTCCTGCTGTCGCCTATCTACCTTGTCTCGGAAATCTTTTTTTTTTTTTTTAACCTATGGTCTACGTGATGACAGGCTTTTCCAGCCGCTGCCACTAAATGATGCAAACTGAGGTGTGAGGTAGCAGAGGCTGGTAACCCCAGAGGCTAGGGCAGCAGAGTCAGGGGTTCCAGGCCAGCCTTAAAAAAAATAAAAAGAAGAAAATGTAGCTCAGGAGACAGGCAGGCCGATCTCTGAGTTCAAGGTCAGCCTGGTCTACACAGTTCCAGGATAGTCAGACTATGCATAGAGACCCTGTCTCAAAAAATAACATACAGCTGTGCACACACCTGACAAGAGCCTTACAAATGATAACTAGCGTGTTCTGTGCGAATCTGTAAAGTGACCATCAATTCCGTTTTTTAAAAATACTATAAATCCATCTGTACCTCAGTGTATATACACACGTGTATCACGTGTGTGCAGTGCGTGGGAGGTCAGAAGAGGGCTTGGATCCCTTGGAGCTGGCGTTACAGGGAGGTGTGGATTGGGCGTGACCTCTGCAAGAGCAGCGAGGGCTGATCTTGTTTTACCTGAGAGGGCTCCAAGCTCACAGTCCTCATCACTCTGCTACTTTCTTTAGACGCAGACTCGTCTGACTTCTCTGTGAAACCCCGGAAGGCCCAAGTGAAGTGCCCTGGCCCCCTGCAGTTAGAGGGTGACCGCACTGCCGGTCAGATAGACACAAAAACAATGAATGTGAGGGGCTGGTTGGAAAGAGGGAGGGAGAGCTTGGCAGAGCTGAGGGAATTTTTATACGTATACATTTACGTATAAAAATCAAAGAATTCTTTTTAGAGTAGTTGGAGTAGGGGGAAGGTAGTGAGGAGGATGGCTCAGCAGTTGAGCGATTGGTGCAGAAGCATGAAGGCATGAGTTCAAATGTCCAGAAGCGTCAAAACAAGCTCAGATGTGACCGCACACTTCTGAGGGACGAGAGGAGTAAGGTGGATACTAGCACAGCCCCGTGCTCACTAAAAGACCTCTCACAGCAGGACAGGTCACCCTGGCGTCCCTGTGTGCGCAGGTGAACCGCCCTACACACAGGCGCACACACACACAGAAAAGAAAGCCACCGACGTAAAAATCGCACCTCCCACGCCAGCCCTGTCCGTCTGCCATTCCTTACAGCTCAGCCACGCTGCGCTCTCGGGCGAGCTGTCCCCTCTGCCGGGAACAGGTTTACCTAGCCGCTCAGTGAACTCATTCAAGGCCCAGACGCAGCAGGGCGTGGGCAGCGTGCTCTGCGTGCTCAGGGTTCCCTCATGCCAGCAGCTGCAGGGCGCTGGGCAAACAGCTTTCTGTCTCCACTCTCGTTCCTCAAACACTTCAGACCTCGCAGAGGTATAAAGTCAGTGAACTCCGCAGAGGACTTTCTAGCACATTTTAGCTCCCCCTCGGTTCCCCAGGCAGGAGTGAGCACACCTACTATGTCATCCACAGAGGCCAGCTCCTGGGGCCACTCTGCTGCCTGGCACATCAATGACGCATGGTCACGATTTCACTGCGTCTAAGACTTTCACATTTAGGCATCAAACCGAGCAACCTTTTTCTTTTTTTTGGCTTGGAGTTCACTATACAAACCAGGCTGACCTCGAATCCAGAGATCCGCTTGCCTTTGCGTCTTGAGTGCTGTTATTAAGGTGCACACCACAGTGTCAGGCCTCATTTTTTTTTCTCATTGTGTGTGCTGTGCCAGAGGTCAGACCCAGGGCCTTGTGCACGCTGAGCAAGCACTCACCACTGGGCTCCTGAGGGGAGGACCTCGGGAGGCTTCTTTAACATCAGTGATGTTTAGATTTTATGCTTGTGCTGTCTGGCATCCCTCCCAGACAGCAACACCTCTTCCCCCCACCCCAACTATTTCTTGTCTTTCTTGCCAGCACCTTAGCCTACCAGACACTTAGAGACTGTGGATGGATGGATGATGAAGGTGGTAATATCATCCCCAAACTGACTCTGAGAGTACAGGCACAACCTAAGAAATTCCAGTACCCTTGAAAAGTAACCAGAATGAAATAGAGTTGTTGGCGAACAAGCACTATTTAGGAGGCCTTTCAGAAAAAAAAAAAAAAAAAAAAAAAAAAATTGGAGCCAGGCATGGTGGCATAGGCCTTGAAACCTCAGCACTTAGGAAGCTGAGGGAGGAGAAGCAAGAGTTTGCTATAGTGAAATCCTGTCTCAGAAATGCCATATATAGCCTCGTATGGTGGCACACACTCAGAGAGGCAGCGGCAGGCAGATTATCTGTGAGTTCCAAGGCCAGCCTGGTCTACAAAGTGAGTCTAGGACAGCCAGGCCTACACAGAGAAACCTTGTCTCCAAAAATCAAACAAACAAAAAACATGCATAGGGCCAGAAGGCTTTTGCAGAGGATCTGGATTTACTTCCCAGTACCTACATCAGGCAGCTCTCAACTGCCTGTAAACCCAGCCCCAAGGGATCACATGGCTCTAGCCTCTGAGGGCACTGGCGCTCATGTGCACTTACCCAAACAATACACATAATTAAAAATAAAATCTTAAGCTTGGCAGTGGTAGGCATGCGCTTAATCTCAGCACTTGGAGTTAGACGCAGGTGGAACTCTGTGAGTTCCAGGCCAGCCTGGTGTACAGAGCTAGTTCCAGGACAGCCAAGGCCACACACAATTTTCTTATTGTCTAAAATAAAATAAAAATAAAAAATAAAAAAATTTTTTAAAGTCATAAGGGCTGAAGAGATGGCTCAGTAATTAGTGCTCTTCCAGAGGTCCAGAGTTCAATTCCTGGTAGCCACATGGTGGCTCACAACCGTCTGTAACATGATCTGATGCCCTTTTCTGGCATGTAGGTTTACATGCAGATAGAGCACTCGTATACATTAAAAAGTAACTAAGTCTTTTTTTTTTTTTTTAAATCATAAATACTATAGTAAGATACTCAGCAACCATTTTCTAAGTTCATCCAAGGAAATATATGTTTCAAAAAGCAAAAATACCAAGTTAGACATGACGGCGCATGGCTATACTCACAGGCTTTGGGAGGCTGAGGCAGGAGAATGGTGAGTTAGAAGCCTGCACACAGGTGGTAGACAGAGGTATCAGGAGTTCCTGGTCGCATTTAAGTTTGAAGCCAGCCTGGGCTACTTGAGACCCTGCCTGCAAATAAAACAAAACCTGGCTGTAAAAGGCCCCATGTGAAGGTTTCCCTCAGTGTGCCTAGCAACACTTAACATTTGCCTGATGTGTCCCCTGAGCCGCGAGGCTAAGAGGAGATAAGAGAGCCCTACCTTCCCCACGGCCGGTCTGTGTGGCAGCAGGCGTAATTGCTTATTCACTCAGTATTTATATCCTCCTCTGTTCTAAAAAGGGGTTAGAACTGCCTCGCACTTAATCAGAAATAACTCAAATACAAGGGATATGGCGACATGGACTAAAAAGGAAAATGCAGAGAGATTCCATTCCAAACCCTGGACAGCTTTAAGGTAGAGGCTGGATATATTGGTTGGAACTGGAGGGTGAATGTGACCGGTAGAGGAGGGAATGAACACATTGCTCTCTCTCTCTAGCCAAGCATGATTCACACTGCTCGGTTAGAATTAGAAAAGGATTCCATGGGAGGAGCCCTGAAACGCTTAGGGCTGGCCAGGCCCAAGTTCAAACTACCTCACTGAATCTCAGTCTTGATGTCGAGAAAAAAATAATCCAAGCCAGGTATGGTAGCCATTTCACTCTGGTGGCACAGGCCAGGAACCCCAGCTACGTGGGAGGCCGATGCAGGAAGAGCTCAAATTCAAGGCTTGCCTGAGCTACTGGGTGAGGTCAAGACCAGCCTAGACAACTTAGGCCCAGTCTCAGGTCAAAAGAAGACGATGGATAAAGCTACTGGGTAAAAGAGATTGAGGAGCACGTGTGAAGTTCTGGGTTCAATTCCCAGAACCCCCACCTCATAGACATGCACAGAGCCGTGTAAACCAAGAGTAAAAATGACTGTCAGGAGGCTGGCCTATGGCTCCGGGGCTAAGAGCACCGGCTGTTCTTGCAGGAGGACCTGAGTTTAGTTCCCAGCAGCCTCATGGTGCCTCACAATCATCTGTAACTCCAGTTCCAGGGGATCTGCTGCCCTCTGTTGGCTTTCCTGGGCACTGCGCACAGCACACATATACAAGCAGGCAGAACACCCATACACATGAAATAAAAATAGCATCGTAAAAACAATTTTAAAAGGGCTGGAGATATGGTTTATGGTTCTATGGTAAAGTACTTGCCTGAAAAGTATGAGACCCTGGGTTCAATTCTCAACACACACACACACACACACACACACACACCTGTGTAAACCAAGAATAAAAATACCTGCCAAATCCTAATCCTGGCCTAACCAAATGAAATTAATAAAGAACAGAGAAAAGAATGAGGGGGAGCTGGGGGATAGACTGGGAGGAGTGGAGGGATGGAGGGAGGCTGCAGTTGGGCTATGCTGTGTGTGAGAAGAATAAATAAAGTAATTAATAATAAAAAGAATGAATGGGTGGGCCCAAAGAACAGGGTCTTTCTTCTCTCATCCTACATGGTAAGCCCTAGCCCCAAAGACATTAGACCTATCTGGGCCTGGTGGCACACACCTTAAATCCCAACTCTCAGGAGGCAGAGGCAGATGGATCTGTGAGTTCGAGGCCAGCCTGATCTATAGAGCGAGTTCCAGGACAGCCAGGCCAGGGCTACACAGAGAAACCCCCCGTGTCAGAAGGAGAAAGAAAAGGACATCAGGCTTCTTTCAGCTCAAAAGACGTCACCTCTGCCCGCCCGGTGTGGTGGCACACACCTATAATCCCAGCACTCAGAAGGCTGAGGCAGGGATGGTCTCAAGTTTCTCAAGGTCTCCAAGCCAACCTGAAATACCTAGTAAAACTCTGTCCCTCCTACAGCTAACGGGCCTACCCTGTACTGTTGAACCTCCTCATCGCGCTTTTGCCTCGCGAGCGTGATCTGGTCCTCCAGGTTCCTGTTCTGAAGGTGGAGCTGCCGGGCCTCCGCTTGCAGGGGCCTCAGAGCCTCCTTCATCTCCTGGATCTCAGCCTGGGTGTCCTGCAGAGCCTTGGTCCCCGCCTCTTTCCTCTCCAGGAGCCGCAGTAGCTGGGGCTCGTACTCGTCTTCCAGGCCCTGGCGGCTTTCGGCCATGAGATTTTCGAACTGTGTCGACAGCCGCCGGCTCTCCTGGAGAAAGTGCCCGTCGCTCTGGGCCGGGGGCGCTTCCAACTGTTGCTGCAACTGCTCCTTCTGCTTGTGGTAGGCGTCTTGGAGCTGGGTCAGTTCTCCCGAGAGCTGGGCTGCCCGAGCCGCGAGCGCTTCCCTGCAGTCGGCGAACTGAGCCACGTCCTGCTGGCGGCACTCCAGCTGGTACTGGTAGGCCACGCACTCCTTGGTCACCTTGAACAGTCTCTGCTTCACCACCCGGATCTCCTCCCGGAGCCCGTCCCTCTCCAGCTCGGCCTGGGCGTGCAGCTTGTAGGCAGCCAGGATGTCCTGGTGGACCCGCTGCACCTCGCGCAGGGCCGGCTCCCTGAGCAGCACGAGCTCGTGGATGAGCTGGTCCCTCTCGTCCTCCAGCTGGGACACGGCTTGCACGCACTGCTGGAAGCAGCTTTCCAGCAGCTCCAGGTCCTCCAGGCTGAGGTTCTCCTCCGCACCGGCAGCCGGTGGGGCTGGAAGGCTGTCCTCCAGGCCCCTGGCCACCGCCTCTCCCTCACCAGCAGTCTGCTCTGGGCCTGGGCTCCCAGCTGGCTCCACAGGCTCCCCCGAAAGCTGGACTTCCTCCTCCGGCCTCGCAAGCTCCCCCACAGACAGGGTCTGCCCTGGGCTGACGGGCTCTTCCAGGTCCTCTGGCTGCCTCGATTCTTCTTCGATAAACAGTGTCTCCTCTGGCCTCTCAGACTCTTCCTCGTAAAGACCCTCTTCCAAGTCCCCTGAGTCTCCCAGATAGAGAATGTCCTCCAGGTCCACAGTGCCCTCCAGAGACAGAGTAGCCCCTGGGTTCAAGGCCTTGGCCTCCTTTGGGGATTTGGAGTCCTGAAGAGGAGAGCTGGCCTCAGTGTGGGGTTCCCTGCGAGAGAGAGGACGAGGACAGAGAGTGAAAGGGTAGCCCAGGCCCCACTGCTGGGTCAACAGGACCTCCACCTCAGGGCTGGCTGCAGCAGGTTCTCTCACCTACCCCGTCCCCACCCCTCACCAATCTGCCTCTTCCACACACAGCCCACTGTCTGCATTTCCTGACACCGCAGCAAACCTGGCTAGTCTCTGCTCCCGTGGCTTTAAGGACAGGAAGCTCGCTCTCTCCGGCACAGCGGGGTGTTCCAGGGTTCTACAGGACGAATTCAAGGGCAATGGGGACAACTTAGACTGTCTAAGGAAAGATAAATGTGACAGTGCACGCCTGTAATCCCAGCACCTGAGAGGTGGTGGGCGGTAGGTCAGGAGTTCAAGGCCAGCCTCGGATACTTAGTGAGTTTGAGGCCAACTGGGTTTCATGAGAATCTGCCACTCTCCCACAAAAAAAGGGGGGTTCAGTGAGTAGCTCAGCAGATAAGTCTGGTAAGCTGAGTCAACCACTGGCATCCAAATGTGAAGAACTGATTTCTACAATTGTCCCAGGAGTACACACATATACCCCCCAAATAAGTAAGCACATATTAAAGGGGTGGGGGCTGGGGAGATGGCTTAGTGGTTAAGAACACTGGCTGCTCTTGCAAAGGACCAGAGTTTGGTTCCCAGCACCAAGATGGTGGCTTACAACCCCCGTCCAAGGGGATGGTGCCCTCTTCTGGCCCCGTGCATTCCTCCCCGCATACATGCCAAGGGGCTGAGAAGTCAGCAAAGTGCTTGCTTCCTACACCCCGGGATGAGAACCTGAGTTTGGGTTCCAGCACCCATATGGAAATCCAGGTGCTGTGGTAACACCTGGTAAGCCTGGCACTGAGTGGGCAGAGACCGGGGAACCCCAGAGACTTGGGGTAGCGGAACTGGTGAGCTATCCATCCGAGTGCTCACGAACACGTAGGATGCTTAGGGTTTGATCCCCAGCAGTACATAAAACCAGGTGTGGTAGTGCATTTCTATCTCTATAGTCCCAGCACTCAGGAGGTTCAGAAGTTCAAGGTCATCCTCTGCAGCGAAAAGTTCAGAATCGTCCTGGGCACTCCTAACGAGTGTGTACACATGCACATATAGGTCCACGGACTCCAAACACTAATGTTGAGAATGTTGCTGAAGAGCTTTTCTCCCCTATTCGTTGGGAAAGGGTCTCTCAATCAAACCCAGAGCTCACCGATATGGCTACCCTTCCCAGCCAGCTTGCTATGGGGACGGATTCCTGTCTCCTCCTTCCAGGGCTGAAATTATACTTGGGCTGCCATATCCAACCAGTACCATTTTGACTGTGCTATATCCCCAGCTTCATGAGAACTACAGTTGGGGGCAGCAGAGCTTGAGGTACTAAAAAACATTGGCTGATGATAAGATAATCAAGATCCACTTCCTCTCTGGGGGAAAAAAAAAAACGAATGGGTGGGGCATGATGGTGGGTGCCTTTAAACCCGTGCAGAAGCAGGGCCCTCTCGGTAGGTTCTAACCCAGTCTACCCTACATAGCAAGTTCCAGGCCAGCCAGGGCAATGTAGTGAGACCTTGTATTTAAAAAAAAAGCAGACAAATGAGGTTATTGCTGAGGTCTGCTTCAACTTTATATGTATATATATTTTTTTTTGGTGGGGGGGGTTCAAGACAGGGTTTCTCTGTGTGGCCTTGGCTGTCCTGGACTCACTTTGTAGACCAGGCTGGCCTCGAACTCAGAGATCTGCCTGCTTCTGCCTCCCTGAGTGCTGAGATTACAGGCCTGCACCACCACCACTCAGCTCTGTACTCTCTTTTTAAATATTTACTTATTTTTATATGTCTGGATCTTTTGCCTGCGTGCATGTATGTTTATTTCAATTTTTTTTACATTTATTTCAAATTTTTTTACATTTTATTTAATGCATAGATGTGTGTGTGTGTGTGTGTGTGTGTGTGTGTGTGTGTGTGTGTGTGTTGGAAGGGAGGCATGTGTGCCATTAACACAAATGTAGAGGTCAGACACCAGCTTGTGAGAGGCGGCTGTCTCCTTGCGTGTGGGTTCTGGGGTGGAACTCAGATTGTCAGTCTTGACCACAGTTCAGCTGGCTTCCTGCTCCATTTAGCCCCCTCCCTGAAAACTGACCTTTATCGTAGGGGTCTTCAGTCCTGTCCAGCCTTTTTCATCCCACTGTCAGGGCCCTAGTCCAAGCCACGATCTGTTTACTCTGTTTTCTACTAGGCTTCTTTCTTGTTTTGTTTTTTCATTTGTTGTTGTTCGAGACAGGGTTTCTCTATACCGTCCTGGAACTCGCTCTGTAGAACAGGCTGACCTCAAACTCATAGAGATCCACCTGCCTCTGCCTCCCAAGTGCTGGGATTAAAGGTGTGCGCCCCCACCGCTCAGCTCTGTGCTCCCTTTTAAATATTTTCTTATTTTATATGTATGGACCTTTTGCCCGTGTGCATGTGCACCACACGCCTGCCGCCCTCAGAGGTGAAAGGCGGCGTCAGCTCCCCTGGGACTGGAGTCAGGAATGGTTGCAAACCACCATGTGGGCGCTGGGAACCCAATCCAGGTCCTCTGCAAGAGCAACAAGTGCCCCTAAGAGCTGAGCCATCATCTCTCCAGTCCCAGGCCTGCACCACTTAACAATCTCAGCCTCCCAAAGCGCTGAGACTGCGGGCACGGGTCCCCATGCCCAGCTTTCAGAGTCTTAAAGACGTGGCCCTCCCACACCGATTTTAGCCTCAGCTCATATTACTCCCGCCACCCACCCGGGGCCTGACAACCCAGAAGGTGTGGCAACTTTTCACACCTCCTACTCGGAGCCCGCAGTAACTGAAGGAGCTGGATGGAAAAATAAAAGGCAACTTCCTGAGTACCAATCTGACCTGAGCTCCCAGAGAAGGTAAAATTCCCAGCTCCAGGAAGGAGCACCTGCTCAGGCCGCCTCCACCTCCCTGGTTTTCCGCCAGAGTCCCCACTTTCCCAGCTGACAGCCTCAGAATGACTTAACCATGTCCAAGGCACTATTCTAAGCACTTGCATGAATACTCACTTGGAGGCTGCTCATCTCTTACGCCAGCACAGAGCCTAGCAAGCCGAGGCTCGAAGAGCAGAAGGCTCACCTGCGGCTCCGTCACTGTAAGTGGAGGGAGCCTTCGGAAGATCACAGTGCCTAGTCCTCTTAGCATAGGCCTAAACAAATCTTCGGAACATCATAGTCAGAACGCCTTTCTAGGGTTGGGGTTGAGACTGAAGGGACACTTGCCTAGCATGCAGGAAGTACTAGGTTTGTTTCCCAGCCAGGAAAAAAAAAAAAAAAAAGAAGATGTAGAAAAATCTGTTACCCTGCAGTGGTAGAGGTAGGGCACATATTTATTCCTAGCACTCGGGTGGCAGAGGCAGGTGGATTTCAGTGAGTTCAAGGCCAGCCTGGTCTACATAGTGAATTCCAGGACAGCCAGGGCTACTCAGAGAAACCCTTTATCGAAAAACCAAAGCCAAACAAAATCTGTCTACTTAGCAAATGTCTCAAGAGTAGTGGCTTCCTGGTACAAACATGCCTGTGTCCGTGGATGAGAGTTCATCCTGGGGATGAGGCTACTTGTCTGTACCCGAGTGTGGGGCCCTTGGAAGGCAAGAAGAAGCCAACTGAGCTCCAAGGGGAAGTTTGCCCAAGGTCAAGTGGCAGGTCCTCGGTGTATAACCCAGGCCTCCTGACTTCCGGGTGGACAGGCCACCCTGGGTGCCAGATGTTTTCCTCAGCTTGCTGCCTCTCTACTGAGCTGGCAAAGCAGCAGGTTACAGGAGGCCAAGCAGAGAGGGACAGTGCTCAGCCGGGGCCCCTGACCCCAGTGCCTCTGCCACTCTGTCCCTGTCTCCAGAGGACTTGGACAACTCCTTAACGCTGCCCATCAGACATGACTGGACATGTGTGTGGCATCATACAAACAGTAAGCTCGCGTCTGGCTCCGAGCTTCTTAGCAGGTGTGCAGGGAATACAGGCAAACCGTGTTAAGACCCAGGTTAGCTTTTTGTCTTCTCGTGCGACAACAGAGTAGACAGGAAGTAGTCCCACAAGCTGATACACCGAGAAGTCCCTGGGTCTTTTATATGTGACGTGGAGCAGCAGTCTCCACAAATCACCGGCAGCAAGGTTACAGGGTGGGCAGCTGCTGGGCCCAGCCACGGCCCCGGGCTGGGCTAGGAGAAGAGCCCCTCTCTAAGCCTCCACCCTAGCCACACCAGGGAGAGCAAGCTGACTGAACACACTCAACTTCAAGCTGGCGGGTGCCCAACCCTGCACCAAGTGGCTCAAACGCAGTGTATTCTCCAACGGTTTCTCCCCCAGCCCCGCGAACAAGCGGATGAGAAATAAGGGGAAAATAAGGCTAGAAAAAGAAAACTTGGACACTAAGTTTGGCCGGTTGGATCGCTAGCCTGCAAGGATTAGTTCTCACACCACCCGTGGAAGGAGAAACCCAGACCACCAGAGGCGTCAGGTCCCCAAGCCGGGGCCTCGCATCTCCCTTTCCCCGGTGGCTCCGCCCCGGGCCACACCCGGGCGGGACCACTACCCACAGCCAGGAGGAAGGGGCCGCGTGTAGACGGTGAGGCCCACCCAGCACCCCCTGTCCTACCAGGCGGCGACGCGGGCCCTGGAGGATCCTACCTCGCGGCCAAGGCGCCGTCCCCGCCGCGCAGGGGCTCCGGGCTGGCCATGGCTGCGCGACCCCGGGCTCGCCCGGAGCGTTATTAATAGCCGGCCCCGCCGGCGGCTGTGCCGGTGCCCGCGCCCGCCGCACTGCCAGCTGCAGCGGACACCAGATCCCGGCGGCCCGGGAGGGACGCGCCCACTTGGCCCAGATGCTCGCCGGGCGGGAGGAGGGCGCGAGCCCAGCGGCCCTGGGGGCGGGGAGAGGGTGGGAGCGGTGGGGGGGGGGTGGGGTGGGACGTGGGGGCGGCCCGGCGGCGCTTCCCGAACCTTCCTTCCATCTCTCCACCTTTCCTTCTGGCCCGGGTCGCGTGGTGAGGAGAGGAGGGGGCGGTGCAGTCCCCGGGGAGCAGGTCCCCGGGCGGGAGGAGGGTTTAGTGGTGGGGGTACCCAGCGGGCCCCAGCGCCTCTCGTGGCGGCGCCCTGCGAACCCCACCCGCGCAAGGGCTTGGAACCCGGCCCTTCTCTTGGTGTCCCGCAGCTGTCGTGAAGGGGTGGGGCAGGGCGCCTGCTGGAGAAGGAGGGGGGAGTTACCCGGCACACCCCACGCGTCTGGGGACAGCTGGGGGCCACGGCTGAGATTAGAGGAGGGCTGAAGAAAAACTCCAGAAACACTTAGGGCCTTAGAGTGGAGTCTGCTGAAGGTTTCCTCCCCTCACCCTGGGAGGTTTCTTGGGGTCCTCTGCACTTGTCGCTCCTACTCTGTTGTATTTCAAGGCATATATATTCCTGCCCTTAAGTCCTGGGCCCTTTGATGTCCGGGTCAGACTTCCACATTGAAGTCCCTCTCCCATCCCCCAGTTAGGGCTGCTGGGCCCCTTCCCAGACCTGGGCCCCAGACATTCTTGCTCTGATTATTTTTTTCCACTTAGTCCCTGTGTCAGGGAGGAGGGCTTTGATTCCATTGCAGAAGAATGCCGTGCGCCCAGCGGGCCCAGGCCGGAAGGCTGGACAGCGTTTAACCAGATCCTAGAGCAGAGGATGAGGATGGAGAAGGAGCAATGATGCCAGTGTGTTGGCTGGGTAGCTTGTGCCTTGTGCCCACGGCGCAAGGTTCTGCGTGTTGGATGGATGTAGGGTTATATCCGCAGCGGGACTCCTGCTCCTGGTCTGTGAGGGCGTGTGGAAGTGCCGACTGGAGAGCAGGGTGGCTGTGCCAGTTGCGGGTGGCTTGAGGGGAAATAGGCGCTGGCTGCAGCGACCGTGGAACAGGTGTGTAACCACGTGTGAGTGTGAGCCTGACTGGGCCGACCTGTGCCAGTGTGGCAGCTGAGGGTTCCGGGTAGGTGTGTGACCGCGCCTGTGCCCTGTGTGAGGGTGCCTCCTGTGGCTGAGTAGCTGAGTGCAAGGGAAGTGAGCCCAACCCCAGAGCAACCCAATATACCCATGTAAGGTATATGGGAGAAAAAGAGTTTTGGAGGCTGCTGGTCATTTTCTGACTTACCCCTAAAATATTCCAGGGGAGGATGTTGGCACGGCCCCGGCTGCTTGCTGGACAGCTGTTGCCAGTCAGACAGAAGGAAGGGGAGCAAGGGCAAGGCCTGCCAGCCTGCTGTTTACATAAGGTGCTAGGCAACAGGCAGCTTGGGCAGCCTTGGCAGGGGCTGCCTCTTCCTCTTCAGCCCCCTTGTCCAGGAATTGGCAGGGGTGTCCCCAAGGCTGCATCCTTAACTCCTGACAGCTCCCACTTAGCTTCTTAGGGTGGGAAACGGAATCCCTAAGTCCTTGCTGCTGTGTATGCCTACATCACCCTCACCCCCTTCAGCTTCTGCTGTCCTTCAGAGCTCGGCTCACACGCCATCTCCTTAGAGATGACCCAAGGGTCCACACTTCCACTGTATCCATCACCTGGATTATCCTCCACACAGCAGGAGGCATGGTAGGAAACATTAGGGTTTGTTTGGGGCTAGGCCGATGGTCCAGCAGTTAAGGGAGGAGTGGGGGTTGCTGGAGCTGGCTTCCCAGCTCTCACATTAGGCAGCTCACAACTGCTTGTAACTCCAGCTCCAGAGGTCCCCTCCCCCCCCACCTTCTGGTCTCCTCAGACACGTGTACTCACACATAGACCTACAGACACATAATTAAATAAAATAAATCTGAGCCGGGCATGGTGGCGTAGGCCTGTAATCCCAGCGCCAGGGAGTCAGAGTCAGGCAGATCTATGCCCTCAAGGCCAGCCTGGCCTGCAGAGTGAGTTCCAGGACAGCCAGGACTGCACAGAGAAACCCTACTTCACTATAAATAAATAAATAGATGGATAGATAGATAGGTAAGTGAACAAATAAAATCTCAACAAACAAACAAACAAACAACAACCCAATAGTGTTTATTTGTAATTCCCACCTTTTCTGCTTCCTCCACTAGAATGGAGGCCCCAGGAGGGAAGAGACTGTTTGACTTCTTCAATGCTTTGCCCTCAGAAACTAACACCACTGGCCTTGCATGAAACAGAAATTTTTGTTAGATGGTCTTCGCCAGTAAGGACGCTTTGCTGAGCGAGGGTGGCTACTGAATTCAATCCCAGAACCCATGTAAAGGTGGGAGAAGAGAACCAACTCCACACAGTTTGTCTCTGACTTCCACACACAACCTGGGGCACACACGCCACCACGCCTGTACACACGTACTGTGTACACACAGAGAGACACACACAGGAGAATACAAAATAAAAGGTATTTGTTGAATGGAGGAAGAAACACAAGGAGGGGTCATGCTATCTAGACCAATTCAGGCAACATATTATACTGGCTACGTGCCAGGCTCATACTACCCACTGGGTTCCAGTGGACCCAGACTGACACAGGCACACACACACACACACACACACACACACACACACACACACACACTGCATCTACCCAGGTGGCATTTGGTGAGCAAGGTCACGGGACTCAGTCCCTTGGCACACATCAACATTTGGTCTGTGCTGAGTCTGTCTCAGAGCAAATGGCTTTATTGGCTGAGGTCCCTAAGAAGCTCATTGAGAAGAAGATGCCAGAACCTTCACCTGGAAATACAAGCTTGCACAGAGAGTAATGCCTGATCATAGGCCTGAGCAATATAGCGATAGTATTGACACGCAGCGGCCCAGGGTTGGGAGAGGTCCCTCCTGGGACTACCTCTTGGACAGGGTAGTCTGGGCCTGGAAGGATAAGATAAAGGTTTTCTCAGCCAGACACAGAGGGTGCTTTCAAAAGCAAGTATATCCACAAAGCTGAAATTAAGAAGAGGAGAGCAGCCAGGGGCTGGCCATTCTCTGTCTAAGCCACACTCTCTGCTTCTCTGCTTGTCCTGCTCGTCCAAGGTCTGATTCCTGCCACAGCCCTCAGCTGGGTTTGCCAGGAGGAAGTGTGGAAGAGAGCTGGGCACTCGGGAGGCAGAGGCAGGAGAACTCTGTGAGTTCAAGGCCAGCCTGGTCTACAGAGTGAGTCCAGCAGGGCTGGAGAGGTGGCTCAGAGGTTAAGGGCACTGGCTGTTCTTCCAAAGCTCCTGAGTTCAATTCCCAGCAACCACAAGGTGGCTCACAACCATCTATAATGAGATCTGATGCCCTCTTCTGGCCTGCAGGTGTACATGCAGGCAGAACACTATATACATAATAAATCAATCTTACAAAAACAAAACAAACGAAGAAAAGGAAGGAAGAGAGAGAGAGAGAGAGGAGAGTGTGACCAGAATAGTCCCCACACTCCCCCAGCTATTCCGAGGACTGGACCCAGGGCCTGGCACATGCCAAAAGATGCTCCACCACTGAGCTGTAGCCTGGGCCTGAAATGAGACTTTTTATCAAGCTTCTCTCCCTCAGTGAGGTCCATCTCGGCAGCCGTAATGGTCCTACGGAAAGCTAGAGCTGCCTTGTGTGTTACACCCCTGAATTCGGCTCTCATTAGCTTTTCTGGCAAGACTGCCTCCCCTTCCTCCTCTGGCTCGGGGCAGTGACTGCTGCAGGGCTGCAGAGGCCGGGGTGTTTCCCTGTTCCTGCACACTCCTCAGAGCAGTCCTTCCGTGAACCCTCTTCCAGCAAAGGCCTCCAGTGGGCCTGTTTACTGCTAAAACCCCCAAGGAAGCATAGCCTGGCCACAGACGTTAGATGGGCCACCAAACACCAAAATGAGAAGAGTGGTGATCAAGGCTGGTATTTAGCTGAGTGATAGTGACACAGACTATACCCTATCTAGTCACATATGTGCATACATAGGAATGCTTATATCCTTGAGTGTAAATATTCATGTATTTATGACTACATAGGCATATATTCTTACATATGGATATATATGGTTATATGTGAATATATATATATGTGTGTATATGTGTGTGTGTGTGTGTGTGTGTGTGTGTGTGTGTGTGTGTGTGCCCAAGACCTTGAATTCAGTTCTCAGGAAAGGCAAAAACGAAAGGAAGATGAGATTGGGAATTTAGCTCAATAGTAAACAGTAGTAGAACAGTAGCCTAGAAAAACAAGCAAAGAACTGGAGAGAGAGACAGGACAGAAGAGAGAAGCAGAGCTGGAGAGCCGGCGCAGCAGTTAGGAGCAGCTGCTGCTCTCGCAGAAGACAGGGTTCGTTCATAACGGAAGTCATATGTTTGACAACTACCTGTCATTCCACCTCCAGGCATTCTGATACTCTTTTGACTTCCTTGAGCACCCACATGTGGCCTATTTTGAGCTTGATTGTTTGCTTGCTTGTTTCAGGACAAGGGTTTCTCTGTGTAGCTTTGGCTGTCCTTTGTAGGCCAGGACTCACTTTGTAGACCAGGCTGGCCTCGAAACTCACAGAGATCTGCCTGCCTCTGCCTCTCCAGTGCTGGGATTAAAGGCGTGCGCCACCCTCACCACCCAGCTCACAGGTGGCATACTTTCACAAAGACACACATACTGTGGTGTTTTGAATGAGAATACCCCCCTGGACTCACATATGTGAATGCTTGATCCCAGTTGGTGGAACTGTTTGGGAAGGATTAGAAGATACGGCCTTGTCAGAGGAGGCGTGTCAGCCAGGTTAGGCTTTAAGGTTTCATCATCAGGCACCAGGAAACCTCAAAGCCCGCAACAGTCCCACTTACCTCCCTCTGCCTTGTGGTGGTTGTCTCGGTGTGTAAGCTCTCAGTTACTGCTGCATGACGGTTGGTTATAGACTAACCCTCTGAAGCTGTCAACAAGCCCCTAATTAAATGCTTTCTTTGTAAGTTGCCTTGGTTGTGGTGTCTCTTCATAGCCATAGAACAGTACATACATAAGACTTGTACATATACATAAATAAAAAATAAAGAGAAAAAAGAGAGACAGGAGACTTCTTACTCTTTGTTTTGGTTTGGTTTGGTTTGGTTTGGTTTTTTTGAGACGGGGTTTCTCTGTGTAGCCCCAACTGTCCTGGACTTACTTTGTAGCCCAGGCTGCCCTCGAACTCTGAGACCCTCCTGCCTCTGCCCCTCCGGCGCTGGGATTAGACGCATGCTCCACCATGCCATTAAACCAGCCTCAGCCACATTTGTCTGGGTGGACCTGTAGTCCTGGGCACCAACGATGCACTGCTCGCACAGCACTTCCACGGCGCCTGCAAGTCCATGACCTCTCTGGCATCGTTCTGCACGTCCAGGCCGTGCCTGCTTGCTGGCCCAGTGGGAGCACAGAAAGGACCTTATCTCACTCACTCTTGGGTCTGTAGGTAGGGTCCTGAGCAGTGGACCTGCAGGTGGGAGAAAAGGTAGTATGTCAGAGGTGTGACCTAGGAATCGGGGAGCACTAGTGAGCAGCAGGGGAGACGGCATCAGCGAGGGCCCTCCCCCCAATGCTGCAGAGCCCTCCTAGTTAGTGATGGGAGCAATGTTCCCCAGGCCCTGGCTCTCCGAGAGCAGAATGCACCATCTGCACCCTCTTCACAGGACTGTCGTGGCTGGATGAGAGGCCCGCTCAGGAGCTAGTGGGGTTGAGGTAGGCCTGAAAACCCCATCACTTAACACAAGTGGTTCCCCTGTGCTGAGGGTGCCCTGAACCTGGCCCAAGGTGGGAGAGGGATGCTTCTCAGATGCCCTGCAGCACTCTCTATCAGGTCGCCTTGGCTAGAACCAGGGAATGATTCCAGGCTTCAGAGCGAAGACGCTACCCAGAGAGCGTGACACTACCTCTGTGTTCCCTGGGTGCCCTTGGGAAAGTCACCGCAGGCGCTGGGCCCTGCAAGACTGGGCAACCTGTCTTACATCACAGTTTTATTGTGAGAATGAACTGAAAAAGCATTTTGTCAAGGGCCCAGGGGTTAGCTATCATTGTATATTTAAAGACTTTTAAGTCCTCAGTAGTGACATAGGCCTTTCATCCCAGCACTCAGGAGGCAGAGGCATTCAGACCTCTGTGAATTCAAGGCCAACCTGGTCTACAGATGGAGTTCTAGAACAACCAGGGCTACAGAGAGAAACCATGTCTCAAAAAACAAACAAACACACACACACAAAATGAATGTGTGTGTGTGTGTGTGTGTGTGTGTGTGTGTGTGTGTGTGTGTGTGTGTGTCGGGTGTCTGTAGGAGCCAGAACATTGGATCCCTCTGGATCTGGAGTTATGGGCAGTTGTGAGCTGCCTAACATGGGTGCTGGGGATTGAACTTGGGTCCTCTGGAAGAGTAGTGTGTATTTTTAACTATTGAGCAAGCACTCCAGCTCCTATTTATTAAACATTTTAAAATCATTCATTTTTTTTCATGCTAAAAATTGAACCCAGTCTTCTTAGATGCTAGGCACATTCTCTAACCTTTCTCCCCCCCCCCCTTTTAATATTCTTATAGCTGGGAAAAGGTGGTTCACGCCTTTAATCCCAGCACTTGGGAGGCAGAGGCAGGCAGATCTCTGTGAGTTCTCAGCCAGCCTGGTCTGCAGAGTGAGTTTCAGGACAGCCACAGCTACTGCAGAGAAACCCTGTCTCGAAAAACCAAAAAAGAAAGAGAGAGAGAGAGAGAGAAAGAGAGAGAGAGAGAGAAAGGAAGGAAGGAAGGAAGGAAGGAAGGAAGGAAGGAAGGAAGGAAGGAAGGAAGGAAGGAAGGAAGGAAGGAAAGAAAGATACGCGGGCCATACCAAACCAAACAACCAAAACCAAACCAAAAAGGTGTGTGTGTGTTTGATCTCTTTGCGTAGAATGCAAATGATATTCTTTCATTTCCTTTTTCCTCCCTGCTCGCACTGCTGTGGGTGCTGAGTGCCTGGACACCGGGTGAGTGTGAGTCACCTGTGTCATCCCTGGATGACCATCATTCCCACGCCGACGCCCGGCACGTGTGTTTCTTCTCATGACCGCGCGGGGGCGCACCGGACCTGCCTTTTCCGAGCCGGCTGTGAGCATAGCCTGGAGGGCGGAGCCCCAGGTGAGCCTAGTCATCAAAGCAATAATTATCTATTAAATAGGGCTGGGGGCGGATATCGCTCAGGAGGCAGAGTGCAAGAAGCCCTAGGTTTCATCCTCAGGGACGCACAGACCTAGTGTGTGGCATGCCAATAATAGCACTCAATTGAGGCGTTGAGATCAAAAGTTCAAAGTCATCCTCAACTCCATAACTGAGCTGGAGGTTAGCTTGGGTTATATAAGACCTTGCGTTAGCCACACACGCTCAAATAGGAGCTATTAGAAACCAGTGCGGTGGCGCAGGCCTGTAATCCCAGCACTCGGGGAGGCAGAGGCAGGTGGGTGGATCTTTGTGAGTTCAAGGTCAGCCTGATCTACAAACTGAGTCTAGGAGAGACAAGGCTACACAGAGAAACCCTGTCTCGAAAAAAACGAAGGAAAGCAAGAGAGAAAGAGAGGGTGAGAGGAAGGAAGGAAGGGTGGAAGGAAGCAAGCAACAAGGGGTTAGGCATGGGCGAGGTGTGTAGCTCTGAGAGGAACTTTAGTATACATGAGACCCTGTGTTCAATCCCCAGCATCATAAAAATAAACAAATAACAATACACTAACAGCGCTGGCTCCACCGGTCTGAAAGGAGCATTGGAAAGCTAAGCACTCTGGAAAGAGTCAGACATGAGACTCAGAAGATGAGTATAAATCCAGACTCCTCACCCCCATGTCTCTCTGTACTCCTGGGACTGCGTCTCCTCCGCTTTAAAATGGAAATGTCGCTCTTGGGAGGAAGAAGGAATTCCTGGAGAGCAGCCCAGCGGTCACTGCTGTTCTTACCTGGGCCCTGAGGGAAGCTCCAGTTAAATTCCTCTCCCCTGTGAGGGTCACTGGGGCCTTCTCTCAGGCTCCAGGGACTCCCACCCAGCTTCTTCCTCCTAATACAGCCCTCCCTCAGGAGACCCCCATAGGCCGGTCCCCAACTCAGCAGTTTCTTCTGTCCTTTCTGGAGTGTCCCTTCAGGCTCCTCTAGACAGGGTACCTCTGTTCCCAGGTGCTGGTTTTGGTCTGTCCTCAGCCCTCTCCCACAGAGATCTTCCTGCCTCTGCCTCCCGAGTGTCTGTGTTCCAGCCATGAGCCACCTAAATTTCCACATGTGGAGGTCGGAAGATAACTTGTGGGAGTTGGTTTTCTCTTCCTACGTTGGACCTGGGGATCAAGCTCAGATCATCAGGCTTGGCAGCAAATATCTTTATCTGTCAACCCTACATAGTTAGTTTGTTTTCTTAGTTTTTAAATTTGTTTGTTTTTTGTTTTTCCAGTCCTGGCTGTGTCTGGACTCACTTCGTGGACCAGGCTGGCCTCGAACTCACAGAGATCCACCTGCCTCTGCCTCTCTGAGTTCTGAGATTACCGGTGTGCACCACTACATCATGCCTGGCTGCTACGGCTTTTTTAAATTGTTTATTTATGTTTAATTTTGTACTTATGTTTGTGTGTGTGCACATGAACGAACACATGTGCCCGAGTTCTGTGTGTGCCCGAGGGAACCAGAGGAGGCTGTTGGATCCCCTGAAGATGGAGTGGGACTTGAACCTAGCACCCAGTGGGGAGAGGTGGCTATATATTTCCAGTCTGGTAATCTGGAGAGAGGGTGGATTTCCCCAATAGACTGTGTATCCCAGGGGAAGTATTCCATGTCCCCGAGTGGTTGGGGGCCTGGGGACAGAGTGTGCCTCCCTATGGCATGAGAGCTCTGGATCTGACTCTCACATCACAAGTGGGGCCCTTGGGACAGGCCATGTCTCTCCAGCTCACTACCCCTGGAGCTCCAGGGGACAAACTGGCTTTCCCTGAATAAGCCGGGAATCCGGGCTGTGTGCTGATCAGTGCACAGCACTCACCTAACAGCCCTGAGATACTACCTGCCTCCATCTCAGCGCTGGGGGGAAGGCCTAGTACTCCAGGAGCCAACTGGCCTAGCTCTTCTCTGTTAGCCTTCCACGGACATGGTCGCCCTGACCCCCTCCATCTCTGCCACCTGCCCACCATCACAGCAATGGATGGCCGAAGCCAGGCTGGGCTGTCACAGCTTTGAGGAATGGGAACCTCACAGGAAACCACGCTGAACTGAGGCAGAGGCGAAGGGACCGCCAGGAGGTGGTGTGCGGATGGACGACCCGGAATCTATCAGTACGTCCCTGCAACCCTGAGGCTCCCTCCCTTGCCAGGGGAGTCTCAAGCGCCTGGGCTCGGCCCTGCCGCACGCCATCTGTGCTTAACTCACCAGTCCTGACAGGTAGACGTGTTTCTCGTTCTCTGTAGGGATGAGGCAACGGGGGAACCAGAGAAGGGGAGCGCCTTGCCCTGTCACGTGACCGGGAAGCACCCAGCGGGGCTGTCCTCTGTGCTGGCACACCTCAGCCGGCTTTGGAAAGGGAGCAGGAGACAGATTCTGCAGGGAGAGGTGTGGAGGGGGACACCCAGGCTTCTGGCAGGGAGCCCAGATGGAGCTGGCTCCCCAGACAAGGCCTGCCCGAGGGTGGGAGCGCCTGCTAGGGAGGTTGGGGATGAAGAGGGGCAGGCACAGACAGCCACCGCGGGCAAGAGGTGGGCCTGCGTTCCAGCTTCCCGTCCTCGTATAGACATCTCTCCCCACGAGGCGCTAGGTTCGAGTCCCACGCAGACTCTAAGCCCTCTCCTGGCCTCACTTACCCTGTCTGAGAATCCTGGCCTCACTTCCCCTGTCTGAGAAACGCAGGCTGCAGAGCAAGCCAAGACCGCTGTCCCTTTAACCCTCTCCCAGTGGAGGGTGTGGCCTGGGCTGCAGGTGAGCTGCCACGTCGGCAGGGCTAACCCTGTCCTGTCCCCTCCCCCTCTGGAGGGAGGCCCCAGAGGCCCCAGAGGATGGTGGGAAATAGGTGGGGAGAAAGCAGCCAAGTTAGCAGTTGGCGGGAGCTCTATGGAGGAGACAGCCGCGGGGGTGGGTGAGGAAGCCCGTGTGTGTGTGTGTGTGTGTGTGTGTGTGTGTGTGTGTGTGTGTGTGTGTGTGTGTGTGTCCATGACTTAACATGGCACTCTGTGTCCTACGGGTGGCTGCGACTGTCCCAGAATGTCCTGTGTGCAAAATACATGTGTGTCTTGAATGGGCCAGATAGACTCTGATTCAAGTATGAAGGCCGTGTGTGAGTATGTGACTGTCAGCCAGGTACTTACTGTGATCCCAGCGCCGAGGGCACACAGAGGGGACCAGGGACATCTGAGGCCAGCCTGACCTGCAGAGTGAGTTCCAGGACCATAGTCTCTGAGAGACAACAAAAAGTCTGAAGGTCTGCCTGTGCTTTTGTGTGTGTGGGTTTGTGGACATCCTTTCCCGGGCATGCTTTTAATCCAAGCAGGAACAACACGAGTTCAAGGTCACCCTCACCTCCGTAGGCACTCTGGTCAGCCTGGGTTATATGAGCCCCTGTTTCAAAACTACAGCAGGAAGAAGAGTGTGTGTATGTGTTTCTGTGTGTGTATGTGTCTGTGTGTGCGCTGGAGATGGAATCTAGGGCATTAAGTACTGCACTCTGCCTCGAGCTATAGCTTCAGTCCAAGGACCTTACTCTGGTCTTTTATGGCAATTCTTGCCTCAGCACAGCCCTGGAGCTACAGTTATGAGTCACTATTCCCAGCTATTCATTCACTCACTCCTTTAAAAAGTGTATTTATTTTTAAAATAGAATTGTATATATATTTTATGGATGTGGGTGTTATGTCTGCGTGTACGTCCGCACACCAGAAGAGGACACCAGCTGCTGTAGATTGGTTATGAGCCACCACGTGGGTGCTGGGGATTGAACTCAGGACCTCTGGAAGAGCAGCCAGTGCTCTTAACCTCTGAGCCATCTCTCCAGACCCAAAACCTTTTTTTTTTTCAATCATGCGTGTGTCCACATGAAAGTGTGTGCATGTGAGGGATACCTGCGGTTCCCATGGTGATCATAGGTATCAAATCCCCCCTGAGCTGTGGTTATAGGCAGTCGTGAGCTTCCTAGTATGGGAATCAAACAGAAGCCCTATGGGAAGAGCAGTAAGTGTTGTTAGCCACTGAGCCATCTTTCCAACCTCCTTAGCTGTTTTTTTGTTTTGTTTTGTTATTTTTAAGACAGGGTTTCTCTGTGTAGCCTTGGTTGTCCTGAACTCACTTATTAGACCAGGCTGGCCCAGGACTCACAGCCTGCCTCCCAGAGCGTTGGGATCACAGGTGTGTACCACCATGCCCAGCTCGGACTCCCCCTCCCATGACGTTTTGTTTGTTTGTTTATTGTTTGTGCACATGGCACACACATGTCGGTTGGAGGACAGTCTGAGGGAGTCAGGTCACTTCTTCCAATGTGTGGCATCCGGAGAGTGAACCCAGGCCACCCGGCTTGGTGGCCAATGCCTTTTCCCAACTGAGCCGTCTTTCCACCTCACATTACTCTTATTCAGAGATAATTTTGAATGAGTGGGGAATTGAGACAGAATTTTGTCCCGCAGCCCTGACTGGCCTCAAAGTCTCAATCCTCCTGCCTCAGGCTCCCAAGTCCTGGGATTATCAAAGTGTACTATTGAGCTTCTTCTGTTTCCCTTTCCTTTCTTTTTCTTCCTTTCTTTCCTGGGCCCAGAAGTCTTTTTGGGGGGAGATGCAGGAGGGTGAGCACAGTACTGGAGGCTGAGCCCTGGGCCTCTGGAATAGTAAGTGTGCACTCGCTTGACTTCTAAGCTATCGCCCTAGCCTGAGCCCCACTCTTGCTGCCTGCCTCGGCCCTCACAATGGGAGCCACGAAGCAAGGATTTGAACCCAGTCCTCTCCCTGTCCCCGGAGCTCCTGCTACCAGGGGAGTCATCAGTCCCTGGCTGCCTATCCTGTAGTCTTGGAGAGAGAGGAAGAAAGCGTGAAGAGGCCTGGAAAAATGGGGATAGGTACCCCAGACAGTGTGCAGCCGCAGCCAGAGCTCCACAGGACCTCTTGTTCTAACCACTGCCTCACTCCCTGCCGCAGCTCCCTCATGCTGAGGTGACTAAGTGAGCCCAGCCTTGGGGAACCCCCCTGCTGGCTGCTCACAAGCGTCTGAAGCTCAGTGGGTCCCTAGACCTCTGTTCCCAGGACAGTGGTGGTGCACGCCTTTAATCCCAGCGCTGGGGAGGCAGAGGCAGGCAGATCTCTGAGTTTGAGGCCAGCAGGGTCTACACAGGACAGCCAGGGCTACACAGAGAAACCCCGTCTCAAACAAACAAACAAACAAAAAAGCAGAACCCTTTTGCAAGAATGATGGAGGCAGGGACGTGAGTCAGAGCAGCAGCCTCTGGAACGGCAGCTATTTCTCCCTTATTCCTGGCCTTCCACCCCACCCCTTTCTCTCTTTCTGAGACAGAGACATCTCGTACAACCTGGACTGGCCTCACACTGCAGCTTTTCTTGCCCACACCTCCTGCCCTCCTGCGGGCTGGGTTACAGACACGCCTGTCCACACGTGGCTCCTTTATTTCTGAGGAGGAGACTGAGGCTCTGAGGTAGACACAGAGAAGAGGCGAGCCGTGGGCCTTGTCTTCGGATCTTAAGGCCAGGGCTCGATGGTGCCTCCTTTGGTTCTGGGAGGTAGGATAGGATGTGGAGGAGGGTGGAGAGGCCCGGCTGGAGAGTTCCGACCTGGCAGATGCGGATACGCGCGTGCTCGGGGGAACACATGTGTTGTAAGACCGCAGGGGACTGGAGAGATGGCTCAGAGGTGCAGAGCACTGGCTGTTCATCCAAAGGTCCTGAGTTCAGTTGCCAGCAACCGCACGGTGGCTCACGACCAACTATAAGGAGATCTGGTGCCCTGTTCTAGCCTGCAAGTACACCTGCAGGCAGAATAACTGTATAAATAGAGATAATAACGAAATCTTTTTTAAAAAGACCTTATGGGAAGGAAGACCAGGGGTACCCCTTCCTGGTCCCTGGGCTTCGTGGCGAATGCTTGGGTGGTCAGTTCTCCTCTCAGCTCTGAGTGTCTTTTCAACACCCTGACTCGAGCCTCACAGTGGCTTCCAGTGTACATGGCCTTTGCTTCTGTCTTTGCCCTGCTCCCACCTGCCTGGGGTCCTCTGCCTCTCGACCCCTGCTTCCTCGTAGAACTGATAACAGACCTCTCTGATCATTGCCCTTATCCCCACCGGAAGACTTTTTTTTTTTTTTTTTTTTTTTTTGTCCAGCAAATCTGATTCCTCAAGCATAGTTTCAGGCTACTTCATGGGCTTCAGCTCACTGAGAAAGGGCCAGCACCTGGGTCAGGCCTACTTTTAGTCCAGGGAATTCAGAATATGTCCACCACTCCCTTGCAGCTGGACCCTGACTCCAATCACTTCCACAGAAGTGGGGGATCTGTTTTAGTTACTTTTCTTATTGCTATGACAAAATGCTTGACAGGTTAAAAAAAAGAAAAAAGAAAAAAAGCAACTTATGGAGCTGGGTGGGGTGGCACTCAGGAGGTTGAGGCAGGCGGATCTCTGTAAGTCCAAGGCCAGCCAGGGCTCTAGAGTGAGTTCCAAGACAGCCAGGACTACACAGAGAGACTGTCTGGGAAAATCAAAATCAACCAACCAAGCGAACAAAAAGGAACCTATGGTAGAAAGGGTTGATTTTGGCTTAGGTTGAAGGCACAGTCCTTTGGGAATGGAGCCAAGGCCTGGGGGAGGGGCGGCAGCTGCAGTCAGGAAGAAGGGAGAGATGGCTGCTGGGGCTCAGCTCTCTTTCCTTTTCATTTTGAGTCAGTCCAGGACCCCAGCCAATGGGATGGAGCTGCCTACATTCAGAGTGGGTCTACCCTGCCCTATTGAAAACCAGAGGTGAGTTTCCATGGTGACTCTGCGTCCCCATCAGGTTGACAACAAACATTAGCCACCGTAGTGTCTTTTCTCTTTGCCCTTAAGGGTCCAGTACAAGTCTGCCAGGGTAGAAATTTCAGATTGAGTGAGTGAGGTCAGTCAGGAGCCTGAGGGCTCAAGGCCACAGCCTTGCAGTGTGACCTATGTTTAGAACCCTTCAGGCCTTCCATCGTTGGAGCTCCTGTCTTCTGTGCCTGGGTTTGGGTCTCTTACATGAGCCTGCTTTTTCCTTTCCTTCCTTTTTGTTTTTTGTTTTGTTTTGTTTTTTTCAAGGCAGGGTTTCTCTGTGTAGCCTTGACTGGCCTGGAACTCACTCTGCGCACCAGGCTGGCCTTGAACTCACAGTGATCCACCTGCCTCTACCTCCCTAAGTGCTGGGATCAAAGGCATGGGCTACCTCTCCCACCACTGCTGCAGCCACCAACACCTCCTGGTGAGTCTGCTTTTCCAAGTCTTGAGATACCAGGAGGCCTTGGAGCCTCCTGGCACTGCCCAGCACCCCTGACCCCAGGTGCAAAGGCAGGGTGCAAAAGGCCTGCAGGCTGATCCCCACCTGGGGCTTCTCCCTTGCTCCTTTCCCTCAGGAGTCTTATTTCCAGCTCCCGGGTTGCCTCCCCTGACCCTCCCCTGACCCTCAGGGTGGGGCAGGGTTTGAGGGTGTGCACAGTGCAGCTCTTGTTCAGGGGACCTGGGTGGGGCCTGTCCTGCTCTGGGCTCCAGCCCCTGGCTCCCCCGGTAAGGGGGGGGGAGGGGGAGGTCAGGGGGTGAACTGCCTCTGCCTGAAGCAGCATCACAGGGGTGCTCAGGGCTGCCTGGCTGGCTGTCATGGATCTGCCAGACGGCCTAAACTGGGCTTGCCTCCAGAATTTCATTAATCCCTTTGCCTCTGGCTCCTCCATCTCTCGGCCTCTGCCCTGAGATGAGGGTAAGGCAGTTGGCATAGCATGGCAAAGAGTGGTGAATCTCGGAGCTGACCCCAGAGCTGTTCTTCAAAGCATCCTCTCTGGGACCAGACTAACGGAAACAAGGCTTGATCAGGGAGCTAGGGCTGGGGCTGGAAGGACTGGGTCTCTGGGGTCTCTGGTAGTGGGTGGTATGCAGGGAAGGGATAGAGGCCTGGGGGTAGGGGTAGGGTAAGGACTCAGAGAGATCTGAAAATAAGAAATAGGATAAGCCAAGCTGGGAGGCATGTTTCTGTCCTACCCCAGCTGGGATTCCAGAGGGCGCTCTCCTGTCTACTCAGCCTGGCCTCAGTGTCAAGCAATCCTCAACACAGGAGGGGTAGGGGGGACTAGAAACCAGTATCACTGGGATAGGATATGACAGGACACACACCAAACAGGCCCGAGCAGAGCATCCAACTGGGAGGCCTGAGGGGCCAGGACTAAGGCTAGAAGTCAGCCCT